TTTAATGTTCTTGTTGTCACAAATTATATCTTTTTTATATTTTGTATTTATTAACATGTTTTTATAGTCTGTGTTTTGTATACTTTTGTGTTTCTGTTTAGATTCCATTAATTTCAGTTTGAACGACTCTCTCTGGTATTCCTTATAGGGCAGGTCTAGTGGTGATAAGCTCTCAAGCTTTTGTTTATCTGGGAAAGTCTTTATTTTTGCTTTGTTTTTTAAGAATTGTTTTGCTGGATAGAGTATTATTAGTTGGCAGGATTTTTTTTTCTTTCAGCACTTTTAATATATCATCCCACTCCTTTGTTGTCTTCAGGGTTTCTGCTGAGTAATCTGTTGGTAGTATTGTAGGGGTTCCTTGTATGTGAGAAGTCACTTTTCTCTTACTGATTTCAAAATTCTCTCTTTGTTTTAGACTTCTGATGCTTCGATTATAATGTACCTTGGTGTGAAATTCTTTAGGTTTCCTTTTTGGAGACATTTAGGTTTCTTCAAACGGGGTATCAATTTTATCTCCCAGATTTGGGGAGTTTTAAGCGATTATTTTCAAATAAACTTTCTTTCCCTTTCTGTCTTCTTCTGAGACTCTGTAATGTGTATACTAGTTTGTTTTATAATGTACCATTTGTCCTTTCAGTTCTTTACTTTTTCATTTTTATCTTTTTTCTTTCCATGATAGGATAATTTCAAATGACCTGTCTTCAAGTTTGCTGACTCTTTCTTCTGTTTTATCAAATCTCGTATTGAACCCCTCTACTGAATTTTAAATTTCAGTTATTGTATTTTTTAGCTCCAAAATTTGTGTGGTGTTTTTTAAAGTATTTTCTATCTCTTTGTTGAAATACTCATTTTGTTCTTGCAACATTTTACTGAGGTAGTTAAGAGTTTCTATGATGGGCATTTTGAAATCTTTGTCAGGTAATTCATATACATACATTTCTTTAAGATAAGTTTCTGGAGCCTTTTATTGGGCCATGTTTCTTTCTTCTTGCTCCTTGACACTATGTGTTAATGTCTGCACATGTGAAAAATCTACCACCTCTCTACAGACTGGATTCATACAGAGGAAAACCTTCTCCATTCAGCCAGGCTAGAGGTTCTGGAAACCTGTCACACCTATTGTGTTGGTGTGTCTTCCCTGGACTTGTGTATGTAAATTCTTAATTAGAAGGGGTTCTCTTTTTTACAGGAGTTCATGATCTCTTGCTCCCTCTGGTATCTCTCTGCTGTTCTGCAGACCCTGTGGAGCAGCAGCCTACCACCCAACTCTTGTTTGTTTGTTGGTTTTGTTTTCACAAGTCCCCAGGCTTGTAGTGTATGTGGAGGCTGGTCAGTGCTCTGAGAGATACAAGACAGATAACAGTCCCATGGCATAGTTCTTTGAAAAGTCTGAACATTGGACATATATTTGAGTCTTCTCCTTCCTTCCCCAGGGAGAATCTTGAAACTGTTTTCTCAAACGCATTGTTCTGAGCTGGGGAGAGGAGCTTTGACTTTTGAGTGCATACTAGTCTAAACTGTCATCTTTGTTCTTAGTGGTCCCTAAACAACTAGAATATTCTGGGTCCCATAAGTACATCAAGACAGGCAATACAGAAGCTAGGGCCTCAGGCATCCCCCTGAAAAGCTGAAATGTGGGTGAATGTTCCAATTCTTTTCCTCCCCAGGAAGAAGCTGGGATTGGGGGGGGGGGTTGCCTGCTTGTATACTAGCTCATATTGAATGTATACTCGTTGAGTGTATACTAGCTCATATTATCACCTTTGTTCTCAGCAGCTCCCAACCTTAGGCCCTTTCCTCTCAGTGTTGAGATTCAATCCAGACAGAAACCAGTCCCACAGTAGCCCCCCAAAAAGTCTGAGCTTTGGACACATGTTTTAGTCCTTTTCTTCACTTCCCAGGGGCAAGCTGGGAGCTGACATTTTCCTCCTGATTAGTGGTGCTGAGATAGGAGGAAGAATTATTGCTAGAGGGCATCACAAATTTACCTTCTGGCTTCTGTGTTGCTGGTTCATCTTCAACCCATTCTGCAGGAACCTCTCACCTGGTCTCTGCATTTCTCACAAAGAGAATTGGTCCTTGTATTGTTGTTGAATTGGTATCTCCATGGGGAGGAGAGTCTAGGGTTTTCTGTTCTGCCATCTTCCTGATGTCACCATCTTGACTTCTTAACTTAGATGTGGCCATGTGATTTCCTTAGGTCAGTTTAGCATGAATTGGTCATGTGTGGAAGCATTAGGGGCCAGTGTGTGCTTCCCTTCATTCTCTCTTTTCCTTTGCTGCTGTGGCTAGGAATGTTGCAGATAGTAAGATTTATATCAGCCCTAGTTCCAAAGTGATAATGTTGAGCAGAACCTCTAGGTAAACTTTAATGAACATGGAGTAGGGACAGGAAATAGATCTTTGTATTTAAGCCACTGGAATTTTACAATTGTTTGTTACTTCAACATAATCTCACCTATCTCAGTTTATACAGTTTGCAATGATACAATCATAAATGATATGGCCGATTTTTTGTTCTGTTCTTCTTTAGTTTGGGCATCAGGGTACTGTTAACATTGTAAAATGAAATGGAGAAAAATGTGTCTTTTTCTAAATTTTTTATAGGTTATATAGCATAGATATTCTGTAATCCTTGATGGTTTCATAGACATTTCCCCTAAAACTCTTTAGCCTTATGACATTTTTAGCAGTAGATTTTCAGTATTTTCCCCTGAGGATATTAGTCTATTCAAGTTTTTTTGTATTTCATTAAATATATTTGGTAATATATTTTGTGAGAACGTTATTTACTTTGTCTAGACTTATATCACTTTTGATACAAAGATATATAAAATATTGTCTTATAATTTTAAAATATCTTCTATTTTCTATAGTTATATTCTTTTTGTATTTCTTGTATTTACTGGAAGAAGTAAAAGTAGTAGTTTAGAGCTCAGGCTCTGGAGCTGAACTTCTTGGGTATGAATTCAAGCTCAGCCAGTTATTAATCATATAACTTTGGTTAAACTAATTACCTTCTCTGTCCCTCAGTTTTCTCATGTACAGATGAAGGAATAATATTTTGTGCTTCAAAGAATCATTTTGATAATTAAGACATAAACTTGAGAACTTAAAGTGGTCCCGGACATTTTCACAAGTTTCTGATGGAATCCAACGTAGTTCCTTCCCTTTTAAAAAATTTAGCTTTTTACAGAACAACAACAACACTGATAACAATAGTACTATGTTATTGACAGGCTTCTAATGCTTCTTCAAATCCCAGAGCAATCATTCTCCTGAAATCAGAGTAGACAGAAATCATGAATTCTAATTCTAACTGGTGAATAGTAGACTGTGCCCTTGGCACTCTCTTCTTTTAAACTTCTAATTAAATTACTTTGTATGATTTTATAACTCATACTATTCTTCTTTTTTTAGTTCTAAGATTATCCTAGCATTAGCAAGTAGGAATTTATCCAAGATAATTACTGTGGCTTTATGACATGACCCTAGTACTAGTAGTCATTGAGAAATTCCCTACTGTTTAGTTTAGTATGACAAGATGTCCCATGCTGTCTTGCACATTTCCTGTCTTGCACGTTTCCTGTCTCATAGCTGGAATCAGCTCTTTTTCCTAGGAGCCGTGATTTTTTTTAATGGGAAATGTTATTAGAAACCAAGATCTGAAAACTAATTGTGCCCATCGGTACTGGGGTAGCTTTGAGGTACATTGAGCAGTCAGACTAGAAAATACAAATACGCGTGTGTGTCTATATGTGTATATATATATTTATACACACATACATATACATATTCATACATACATATACCTACAAACACACACATGTGTGTATGTGCATGCATATATACATAGACATATTTAGAAATTATGAGTTTCTTACAGATACTTTCAATTCTAATCTATCCCCTCAAGGCTTGTTCTTGCCTTCTTCCACTTCTGTGTGCATGTCCCTTCTTTCATAGTGTAAATCCTGACTTCGCACAACATCAGCCTATTTACTTGTTTGCTCAATCCTGTAAAACTCTAAAAATGTTTTAGAACTGACTGATTAGCTTATCCCATTAGAAAAACAAACCATGTAAAATATTTCATGATTTTATTTCTGTTACCCAAGATTGAGAGTGTAGTACTGTATTCGTGAGTTAGTTGGATTAGTGCCTTTTTAATTTAAGTTCAGTTGATTTATTTCTTAAGTTGCTTTCCTGTTTAGTGCACTCGTCATATCCTTGTTAATATAATTTTTTGGAATATATAGAATATCAACCTACTTTCAAAAGAGACCAAGAGAGAGGGAGAGGGAGAGGGAGAGGGAGGGACGGAGAGAGAGAGAGAGAGAGAGATCATCTTTTCCTGAATCCCTTCCCCTACATTCCCCAGTTTACCCCTTCTGTTGCAAGTAACCATCTATTATATCGTTTTCTGGTTTATTATTTCTGTATTTCATTTTGTAAATGTAAGTGTCTCTATTTTTCTTAATTTTCCCCCTTCCCCTTCTTTCTTACCTCAGAGGTAATATGCTAGATATCTGCTTTTTCACTTTTATTTTTCACTTAACATTCTTTCTTGGAAATTCTTTCATGTCAGTTTCTAGAAAACTTATTCATTTTTACAGCTGTATATATATAGTTTATAGTATATTTCTTAGGTTATTCAAGCAATAGTCTGTGAATATTTAGCTGGTTTTGAATATTATGCAATTACAAATGATGCTGTGATAAGTAACCTTGTGCATATGTGTCTTCATTGTTTGGCCTATGATTGTAACCTGAAGTATAAATAACCGAAGAAAACTAGAGACTAATAGAAATATATTCAAAACACTCATTAAAACTTTTCTCACAATTTTCATGTCATACCTAGCATTATGGTAATTTATTTTTAACTTTATCAAAATGAAAGAAAGTTCTGCTGTACACTTGTATAAAGTTGAAGTTTAGGTATTTCACAATAGATATATATTTTCTATTCAGTGGGCTAAATGCATTTCTTGATGTAGGTTATGATGAAGCATCAGATGAAAAGCTTATGCTTAACCATCAGGATTCAGTGTCAAAACGCCAAACACAAGTAAAGAAACAAAGAACTTTCAAAAGGGAAAGACTCTCTAGTAAGTACAATAATTATAAATAACTTCATATTATTTTAAATTAAACTCATCAGAAGATCTTTTTTCTTTGCTTCCTGAAGATAATATCTCAGCATATGTTTTGCAGAAATTTTACATGTTGATTTTTTTTTTTTTTTTTTTGCGGTACACGGGCCTCACTGTTGTGGCCTCTCCCATTGTGGAGCACAGGCTCCCGACGCGCAGGCTCAGCGGCCATGGCTCACGGGCCCAGTTGCTCTGCGGCATGTGGGATCTTCCCGGACCAGGGCACGAACCCGTGTCCCCTGCATCGGCAGGCGGACTCTCAACCACTGCGCCACCAGGGAAGCCATACATGTTGATTTAAAGTATGAATACCCTAAGACAACTAGAGAGCAAAACTGAAATTATTGATACAATTTGGTTGGAATTTCTGATCATAAGACTATTTCATTCTCAGTATCCATTAAGGGCAATAATAGGTCAATAGTTGTCTCACTAAGGCTGTGTACCTTTCAGCCAACCTGGGAAATTTCTGCTCCAAAAGATCAGTGGGTGCCTCTCACCTATGTCAGTGTCTTTTTGCTATAGGCTTCGATGGGTGAAAAGAGGTCAGTAACTTAAAAACCAAATGGGGATCAGGTGGGTCCGAGGGAAGGCAGCTTGAATGGCCTGATGGAAGTCCTCCAGAGCATCCTGTTGGTTGGGTCTCCACTCAGAGGTAATAGCCTTTATGCTAACCCCACAGATATGTGCCATCAAACCCCTGTGGGCAGAATGCAAATGTGTTAGTACTCAGAGGGTCCCATCAATATTCAGACTTTTTTTTTTTTATAATTTGGGGAAGGGAGGGCCAAAAGATATGCAAACATCTCCTCTAGAGTAAGATTTTTATCTGCTACCCTGGAATTTCACTTGGATACTAAGTCCTTGTCTATATTAATGACCCAGCCATGTTGCCACATATGGATCGACAGGGTGTGCAGTCCTGTAGGATGGTGCCTTTGCCTGGGCCCACCAGAAGGATGTCATCAATATAGTAGAAAGCTATTATTCCCTCTGTGAGTGGGACTTTTTCTAAGACATGCTCTATCCATTGAAGATAGGCAGATGGGGAATTTAGGGAGCCCTGTGGAAGGACATTAGTGGCATATTTCAATTAATTCTACATAAGGGTGAACTGATCCTGGTCATTTGCATGAAGAAGGTTGCTGAAAAGAGAGTTCAAGTTGTTGGTTGCTGTATACCAAGTTCCTTCACCTTGGGCAATAGCTTCTGTGACAGTCACAGTGCCAGGTTGGTACTAACACTCTGTGCAGCCTTAATTACTTAGTCTGTAGGCACCTGATGTTTTGTGCACAGGCCTGTTAAATGGAGAAATAGTCTATGGAATTTGTTGGCTTCTTTAAGCTCAGCAACAAGGGCAGTTATTTCTTTTTTACACCCAGGGAGTCAATATTGCTTTTGGTAGATATGGGCACTAGGTTCTGGTAGTTGGGTCGCTCAAGATCTTCCACCTGCCCCATTAAAATATCCTAACTGCAGCAAATCCCGTCACAACATGAGAGTGGATGCGAGTGGTGGGTCACATAAATAATACATCTGTACCGACAATATATTCAGTAGTAGAGGCCATAGCAATGCACTGTACGGTAGTGTGGCCTGGAAAAGGTTTCTGTTTGTGATGGTGGCCCCAAACCAGACAGCATTATCTGTTTTCCCCTCATCCTGGTGCCAGGGCTTGTGGGGATTACAGTTATCAGTGTACCGCCATCCAGAAGGCCCAAGAAATGTAATTCTCGCCTGCCTGCAATTGTACTGGAATAGGCCCTCATATATCTTCACTGGGGATGTAGGAACCTTGGTATAACCCTATCTTGTTTTTTATTTATTTTTATTTATTTATTTATTTTTGTGGTATGCGGGCCTCTCACTGTTGTGGCCTCTCTCGTTGCGGAGCACAGGCTCTGGACGCGCAGGCTCAGCGGCCATGGCCCACGGGCCTAGCCACTCCGCGGCATGTGGGATCTTCCCGAACCGGGGCACGAACCCGTGTCCCCCTGCATCAGCAGGCGGACTCTCAACCACTGCGCCACCAGGGAAGCCCTTGTTTTTTATTTTTGAAAGCTGTGATCAGGGTCAGTGTATGTGGAGTTCTTTGATCCATCTCAGAATTCACTGATAAAGGTAGCGAGAATAGCACTTGCATTATTCATAGCGGCCACCACAAAGTGGACTGTAGTGGGGCTACATGCTGGGTCCTCATGGCCCATCATCTAACATTGAGTATCTTGGTGGAGAGCATTAATTTGCTGCTTTCAGACCCCACTGTATGGTAATCAGGCCCATAGATTTTTAGGTAAGGTCATTGCCCATAACATCCAGTAGAGGGAGCATTATTACCATTTTTACATCACTTTTTCTTTCTGGGCAGCAATTTCTGCATGCCTGAAAATTTGCCAATTAGGATCTGACTGTGTCACAACTGACTGACACAACTTATGAGGAAATTTGATTGAGCTTGATAACCAATAGGATTCACAAAAGTGAACTTAGAAATCTGAGTCTGGTAAGACCCAAGTCTAAGTTCTCTCCAGGTCACTGGGCAAAGTGATTCCAAAGTCCTATACATTCTTTTATATTAAAGGCATGAGTCTCGGTGTCAGGACTTAGAACTAACAATAGTCATAGAGTATAACTCAGCTTTCAGGGTCTCTGATGACTTTTAGGTCTGTCTCTGGAGAACCATAGCCATTAGCTAGGGAATTGGTTCCCTAGCTCTCTTAAGAGTCCCTCTGTTAGATCTCTAATTTGACTCATCAGTGGAACTTGACCAGAGTTTGGAGGCTAAAGTGAAGGTCCAATGTTCCCTTCAAACTGAAAGTCTTATTTAACAATTTGTGAGAACTTTCTAAGGTGCTCTGTGGCCTCCACCAGCACTTTCTGAGGCTCACAGGCTAAGTGTCCCATTGGATCCTCACACTCTTGCAGTTGATCCATTTGCAAAGTCCAAGGGTGGCCCAAATCTTCTCTCACACCTCCTAAAAGTGCTTTGTAGGATCTACAGCATTATATTGATCACTTTGCTCACTGTACCGGTTTCTCAGAGAGCTAGAGAGCTGCCGGTTGTCAAGTTGGCCAATTAAGATAACAAACTAAACAAAGTAAAATTCTGCCTTTTTTCACTTACTCTGATAGTATAAGCAAGGATCTAAACAGAAAAGGGCTGAAGCTCTACCAGTCTTCCATTTTCCCCACAGAACAGCACTAGGCAAGGGTCAGGTGTATCATTATAGACAGGAGAGAGTGGGGGCAACATCTCACTGCCCCAAACAAAAGGCTCCTGCTGTTTTAAGGACACTGGGCCCAGGGGAAGGATGAGGAGGCAGAGTTTGGAGCAGATAAGTACTTTACACCGAATCAGACTGAGAACAGTGTCTTCCAGGTCTATCTTTAAGGTGGCGTAGGTAGAGGCATCTGAACAGTACAGGTTCAGTACATCTGAACCTCTGAATGGAGGTTCCTAGGCCAGAATGCAGATAAATGTAAGATCATGGTCATCTAGAAGTGGAGGTTAAGGGTCAGCCTGACTGCAGCTACTTCTAGTGCCTGCAGTGTATATACATCAAGTCAGTGTGGGGTTGGAAGCTTTTCCCTGTAAGAACTGCCAGGTAGGTTTGTAATTGCTTATGGGGCTGAAAGATCATATACAGGGTTTTGACTTGCAGTTGGAACCTCAGTGTATGTATATACACACACACACACACACACACACACACACACACATTCATACGTACCTATACCTACATACACATAAAAGTGAACATATATATGCATATACACATACATAGGCATATTTAGAAATTATGAGTTCTTACAGGCACCTTCAATTCCAGTTAATATCCCTAGGGCTTGTTTTTGCCTGCCTTCATTTTATATGTGGATGTCCTTCCACAGTGAGAATCCTGACTTTGAGCAACATCAACACATTTATATATTCACTCCATCCTATAATACTTCTAAAATTGTTTCAGTCACTTAGCTGATACTAGGGAAAAAACCTACTAAATTTTTTGTGATTTTTTTTTTTTTTTTTTTTTTTTTGCATCCCACTCTCTTGCCTAAGACTGAGAGTATATGTCAAATACTGTTGATGAACTACTTGGATTTGTGCTTATTTTTTTCCTGCAGTAGGTTGATTAAGGTTGCTTCCAACGTTAGTCTTTTTATTTTTTACTTTAGTTTTATTTTTGGAATATGTAAAACATGACCCTTTTCTAAAAGTAATAAATATGCAAAAATATATATAAAGCATCATTTCTTTCTTATTCCTTCCCTACATTCCTTAGTCCTCACCCTCCTTTAGTAGGTATCCAACTAAATTGTTTTTTGGTTTGTCTTTTCTGTGTTTCATTGAAAAAATAACTTTTTTTCCTCTTTATGTATTTATTTCTTATGTCCCTTTCTTTCTTTTACCAAAGGTGAAAAAGATAGCATGCTAGATATTCTTTTTTTTTTTGTGGTATGCGGGCCTCTCACTGTTGTGGCCTCTCCCATTGCGGAGCACAGGCTCCAGACGCGCAGGCTCAGCGGCCATGGCTCACGGGCCTAGACGCTCCGCAGCATGTGGGATCTTCCCGGACTGGGACACGAACCCGTGTCCCTGCATCGGCAGGCAGACTCTCAACCACTGCGCCACCAGGGAAGCCCTAGATATTCTTTATTTCAGTTTTTTTTTTCATTTATTGTTGCCTCCTAGAAATCCCTCCAGTTCGTTTTATAGAGACCTTTTGCATTTCTTTTACAGTAGTAGGTACACTTGTTATACTACATCATATACCATAATTTATACTTCACCATAGTTTATAATATATACTTTAATTTATTCAACCAATCTTCTATGCTTATATATTTTGCTGCTTTTAGCTATTTTGCAATTACACATAATATTGTAATGAAACACTTGTACTTACACATTTTCTTTTTTTTTTTTAAGAAGTCAACATAGGTTTGTGTTTTTCTTTAACATCATTATTGGAGTATAATTGCTTTACAATGGTGTGTTAGTTTCTGCTTTATAACAAAGTGAATCAGCTATACATATACATATATCCCCATATCTCCTCCCTCTTGTGTCTCCCTCCCACCCTCCCTGTCCCACCCCTCTAGGTGGTCACAAAGCACTGAGCTGATCTCCCTGTGCTGTGCGGCTGCTTCCCACTAGCTATCTATTTTACATGGGGTAGTATGTACACAATTTCATTGTTTGGCCTATAAATATGTATTTACCTAAAGTATAAATAACACAAGAAAACTAGAGACTAATATAAAACATATTTGATGTCTAGGAATGTTTATGAAACACTGAGACTGTTTCACCATACATCTATCAAAAATGATCTCACAATTTTCATGTGGATCTAGCATTGTGGCAATTTACTTAAAACTTTATAAAAATGAGAGAAGATGCTGCTGCATAATTATTATAAATTTGAAATTAGAGATTTCACAATAAATCTATTTTCCCATTTAAGTGGAGTGAATGTATCTCTTTTTGAAGCTCATGATAAAGTACCAGATAAGAAGCTTATGCATGAGAATCAAGATTCAGTGTCAAAAATCCAACAGCAAGTAAAGAAAGAAAGAAATCTCAGAAGGGAAGGACACACTAGTAAGTATAGTAATTATAGAAAATTTTTAAATATTTTAAATTAAACTCATCAAATGAGCTTTTTTGTTTGGTTCATGGATATGTATTTGGGCATGTATTTTATTTTATTTTATTTTTTAAATTAAGTCAATTTATTTATTTTTAATTTTTTGGCCTTGCTGCATGGCATGTGGGCTCTTAGTTCCCCAACCAGGGATCAAACCCGCGCCCCCTGCAGTAGAAGTGCAGAGTCTTAACCACAGGACCAGCAGGGAAGTCCTGGGCATATACTTCATAGAAAATTTCTACTTTGACCTAAAGTGTTAATACCCTAAGATAATTAGAGAACAGAAACAAAAGTATTGATACCTTTTGATTGAGATTTCTAGTACTAAGATTATTTTAAGGCCTTGGGTTATGTACTCAGTATGATTCAATAACAGACCATCAACTGACTCTTAAAGGGTGTACACTTCTGAGCTCTCTCCAGGAGATTTGGGTCCATAAGTTCAGCAGTTAACTCTGACATGTCTGTGGCAGTGTCCTTTAGTCATAGCCCATAGTTGGTGAACAAAGAGGTGCTGAGACCTGTAACTCAAACAGGAGATGTGGATCACAGGGACCAAAGGGAATGGTCAAATTCAACATCATGAGATTTTTCCATATGTTTTCTTCAAGAAATTTTATAGTTTTAGGTCTTAAGTTTCAGTCTTTAACCCATTTTGAATTAATTTTTGTGTATGATGTAAGGTAAACATCCAACTTTATTGTTTTACATGTAGATATCAGTTTATTCACCTATTTCTTGGAGACACTGTTCTTTCCCCATTGATTGTTCTTGACACCCTTATTAAAGGTCATCAACTATACATGTGAGGGTCTAAGCTCTTTAATCTATTCCATTGGTCTGTATGTCTGTCTTTATGCCCCTACCACACTATTTTGATTACCTGTGCTTTGTAATATGTTTTGAAATTAGTAAATGCTAGAGGTATAAATTCGTTATTCTTTTTCAAGATGTTTTGGCTATTTGGGATCCTTTGAGATCCTGTATAAATTTTAGCATGCGTTTTTCTATTTCTTCTGCAAAAAATGCACTTGGATTTTTATAGGGATTACACTGAATCTGTAGATTGCTTTGGGTAGTACTGAGACCTTAACTATATTAAGTTTTCAAATCCAGGAACATGGGATGTTTTTTCATTTATTTGTCTCTTCTTTAATTTCTTTCAGCAGTGTTTTTTTAAATTAATTTTTATTGGAGTATAGTTGCTTTACAATGTTGTATTAGTTTCTACTCTACAGAAAAGTGAATCAGCTATACGTATACATATATCCCCTCCTTTTTGGATTTCCTTCTCATTTAGGTCACCCCAGTGCATTTAGTAGCGTTCCCTGTACTATACAGTAGGTTCTCATTAGTTGTCTATTTTATACATAGTATCAATAGTGTATATATGTCAATCCCAATCTCCCAATTCATCCCATCCCCTTCTATTCCCCCTTGGTATCCATACATTTGTTCGCGAGTCTGTGTCTCTGTTTCTGCTTTGCAAATAAGATCATCTATACCATTTTTCTAGATTCCACATATATGCATTAATATATGATATTTGTTTTTCTCTTTCTGGCTTCACTTTCATGTTGTGGCTATCGTCAATAGTGCTGCACTGAACATTGGGGTGCATATAGCTTTTTGAATTTTGTTTTTCTCTGGGTATATGCCCAGTAGTGGGATTGCTGGGTCATATGGTAGTTATATTTTTAGTCTTTTAAGGAGCCTCCATACTTTTCTCCATCATGGCTGTATCAATTTACATTCCCACCAACAATGCAAGAGGGTTCCCTTTTCTCCACACCCTCTTCAGCATTTACTGTTTGTAGATTTTTTTGATGATGGCCATTCTGACCAATGTGAGGTGATACCTCATTGTAGTTTTGATTTGCATTTCTCTAATAATTAGTGATGTTGAGCATCTTTTCATTTGTTTGTTGGGCATTTGTATGTCTTCTTTGGAGAAATGTCTATTTAGGTCTCCATTTTTTGATTGGGTCGTTTTTTTGATATTGAGCTGCATAAGCTGTTTGTATATTTTGGTGATTAATCCTTTGTCAGTTGCTTCATTTACAAATATCTTTTCCCATTCTGAGTGTTGTCTTTTCATCTTGTTTATGGATTCCTTTGCTGTGCAAAGGTTTTAAGTTTAATTAGGTCCCATTTGTTTATTTTTGTTTTTATTTCCATTTCTCTAGGAGGTGGGTCAAAAAAGATCTCACTGTGATTTATGTCAAAGAATGTTCTGCCTGTGTTTTCCTCTAAGAGTTTTATAGTGTATGACCTTACATTTAGGTCTTTAATCCATTTTGAGTTTATTTTTTTGTTATGGTGTTCTAATTTCATTCTTTCACATGTAGCTGTCCGTTTTCCGAGCACGACTTATTGAAGAGGCTGTCTTTTCTCCATTGTGTATTCTTGCCTCCTTTGTCATAGGTTAGGTGACCATAGGTGCATGGGTTTATCTCTGGGCTTTCTATCCTATTCCATTGATCTATATTTATGTTTTTTTGCCAGTACCATGCTGTCTTGATTACGGTGGCTTTGTAGTATAGTCTGAAGACAAGGAGCCTGATTTCTCTGGCTCCGTTTTATTTTATTTTTATTTTTTTACTGTTCCTTTTTTTTTCTGGCTCTGTTTTTCTTTCTCAAGATTGCTTTGGCTATTTGGGGTCTTTTGTGTTTCCATACAAATTGCAAAATTTTTTGTTCTAGTTCTGTGAAAAATACCATTGGTAATTTGATAGGGATTGCATTGAATCTGTAGATTGCTTTGTGTAGTATAGTCATTTTCACAATATTGATTCTTCCAATCCAAGAACATGGTATATCTCTCCATCTGTATCATCTTTGATTTCTTTCATCAGTACTTTATAGTTTTGCATGCACAGGTCTTTTGCCTTCTTAGGTAGGTTGATTTCAGCAGTGTTTTATAGTTTTCAGTGTACATGCCTTTTGCCTCCTTGGTTAAGTTTATTCCTACATATTTTATTATTTTTGATGAATTGTTTTCATAGTTTACTTTTCATATTGTACATTAATAGTTTGTAAAAATGTAACTGATTTTTACATGTTGATTTTGTGCCCTGAAACTTTGCTGAATTCATTTATTAATTCTCCTGGGGGTTTTTTTGTGTGTGTATGCATGTGTGAATCTTTAGGGTTTTCTATGTATAAGGACATTTTATCTATGAACAGATAATTTTACTTCTTCCTTTCTAATTTTTATATCTTGTATTTCTTTTTTTGCCCAGTTGCTGTTGTTAGGACTTCTAGTACTATGTTGAATAGAAGTGGTGAGAGTGGGCATCCTTGCCTTATTTTTGATCTCAAAGGAAGTTTTTAGTTTTTCATCACTGAGTGTGATGTTAGCTGTGGGCTTTGCTTATATAGTCTTTATTATATGTGGGTATTTTGCTTTTAATCTTAGTTTGTTGAGTGTTTTGTTTAATCATAAAAGGATGTTTAATTTTCTGTATCAGCTGAGATGGTCATGTGTGTTTTTTTTTTTCCTTCATGCTATTAATATGATGTGTCACATTAATTGATTTTCATGTATTAAATCAACCTTGCATTCCAGGAATAAATCCCACTTGGATGTGGTATTTAATCCTTCTAATGAGCTCTTGAATTCTGTTTGCTAGTATATTGTTGAGTTTTGCATCTGTGTTCATCAGGTATACTGGCCTGTAATTTTCCTTTCATATAATCCCTTTGTCTGACTTTGGTATCAGGTTAATACTGGCTTCATAGAATGAGTTTAAAAGTTTTCCTATTCATTTCTTTGGATGAGTTTGATGAGGACTAGTGTTAGTTTTGTTGTTGTTAATGTTTGGTAGCATTCTGCAGTGAAGCTGTCTGGTCCTGGGTTTCTATCTGTCGGGAGGTTTTTGATTACTGATTTAATCTACTAGTTACTGTTCTTTCAGATATTCTGTTTATTCATGATTCAGTTAGTAGGTTGTGTTTCTTAGAATTCATTTTTTTCTAGGTATTTCAGATAGTTGGCATACAGTTCATAATGTTCTCTTATAATAATTTTTATTCCTATGGCATTGGTTGTAATGCCTCTTCTTTCATTTCTTATTTAATTATTTGAGTCTTTTCCCTTTTTTCTTAGCTAATGTAACTAAATGTTTTCAATTTTGTTGGTCTTTTCAAAAAACCAACTCCTGGTTTTATTCATTTTCTTTATTGTTTTTCTCTTCTCTGTTTCACTTACCTCTGCTCTAATCTTTATTATTTCCTTCCTTCTGCTATCTTTGGGTATAGTTTTATCTTCTTTTTCTAGTTCCTTGAGTTGTAAAGTTAGGTTGTTTATTTGAAATATTTCTTCTTTTTTAATGTAAGCATTCATAGCTATAAATTTCCCTCTTAGCACTGCTTTCATTGCATTGCATATATTTTGTTATGTTGTGTTTTCATTTTCATTTGTCTCAAGATAATTTCTAATTTCTCTCGCAATTTCTACTTCACCCATTGTTTTTTTTGAGAATATATTTTTATATTTCCCACATATTTGTGGATTTTCAAGTGTTTCTGCTACTGTTAATTTCTAGTTTCTTTCCATTGTGATCAGAAAAGTTATTTTGCGTAATAACAGTATCCTGGAGAATGTTCCATGTGTACTTGAGAAAAATGTATTCTGATGTTGTTAGGTGGAGGTTTTTTTGCATATATCTATAATGTCCAATTGGCCTATAGTGTTGTTCAAATCCTCTAATTTTCTTATTGATCTTTTTTCTGGTTGTTCTTTCCATTATTGAAAATGAGGTATTGAAGTCTCCTACAATTTTTGTTTTATGGTCTATTTCTCCATTCAATCTGGTTAATGTTTTCTTCATGTATTTAGGAGTTCTCATGTCTGATGAATATATGTTTATATATATAAACACTATAATGTTTATATTTATAATGTTACATATTCCTGGAGAATTGACCTTTTTATTATATGATGTCTTACTTTGTCTCTTTAACAGGTTTTGACTAAAGTCTCTTCTGTCTGATATTATAGTATAGCCATCACTATTCTCTTTTGGTTATCATTTGCATGGGGAATCTGTTCCCATCCTTTCACTTTCAGTCTATATATGTCCTTAGACCTAAGTGAATCTCTTGTAGACAGCATTATAGGTGGGTCTTATTTTTTATACGTACAGCTACTCTGTGTCCAGGGAGTTTAACCCACTTACATTGGTAGGTTGTGTGTTTCTAAGAATTTATCCATTTCTCTAGGTTATCCAATTAGTTGGCATACAGTTGGTTAGGAAAGGACTTACTTTTGCCATTTTGTTAATTATTTCCTGTATGTCTCATAATTTTTTGCTCCTCATTTCCTATTTTACTTTCTTCCTTTGTCTTTCATTGATTTTTTTTGGCAGTGGCATGCTTTAATTCTCTTCTCATTTCCTTTTGTGTATTAGTCTTCTCAGGCTGCCATAACTGAAAGCCATAGACAGGGTCACTTAAAAAAGAAAAACAGAAAATTATTTATTACAGTTCTGTAGGTGAAGTCCAAAATCTAGGTGCTAGTAAGTTAGATTTCATTCTGAGATGTCTTTTCTTGGCTCGTAAGTGTCCACCATCTATTGTGTACCCACATGACCTCTTCTTTGTGTGCAAATGGAGAGAGAGAGAGAGAGAGAGAATGAAAGCTCTGGTGTCTCTTTTTATTAGGGCAACAATCACATCAGATCAGGGTCTTACCCTTATGATGTCATTTAACCTTAATTACTTCCCTTCCCCCCATCTCCAAAACCATCACATTGGAGGTTAGGGCTTCAACATATGAATTTTGGGAGATACAAACATGTATCCATAACATGAATAGTCTATAAATGTTTTTGTTATGGTTACAATAATATATTTTATACCAGTAACAAGTTAACTTCAAACACATACATACTTCTGTCACTAAACTGTACTCTTTTAAAGCTCTTTCCCCTCACTTTATTTATTGGTGTCACAAATTACATCTTTGTATACTGTGTGCCCATTAACATAGATTTATAGTTATTTTATGCTTTTTCTCCTAATTCTGTATAAGAATTAAAAGGGAAGTTATGCATCAAAATTTCAGTAATATACATTTCTACATTTGTCCATATATCTTAACCAAAACCTTTATATTATCATACAGCTTCATGATGCCATCTAATATCCTTTCATTTCAACTTGAAAGACTTCCTTTAGTATTTCTGGCAGAGCAGGCCTAGTGGTATGAACTCCGTCAGCTTTTGTTTATCTGTGAAAATCTTAATTTCCCTTTCAGTTTTGAAGGACAGTTTTGCCAAATATCATATGCTTGGTTGACAGTTGTTTTCTTTTGGCACTCTGAAAGTATCATCCCACTGTCTTATGGCCTTCAAGGTTTCTGAGAAATTCATTTATAATCTTATAGCGGCTCCCTTGCACATGACAAATTGTATTTCTCTTGCCTCTTTTAAGATTTTCTCTTTTTCCTTGACTTCTGACAGTTTGACTACATTGTGTTTCGGTGTTGGTCTCTTTGGGTTTTTCCTAGTTGGAGTTTATAAAGCTTATTGAATTTGTATATCCATTTCTTTTTAAAATTTGGTAAGTTTTGTCATTTCTTCAAATAAACTCTCTGCTCCCTTTTTTCTCTCTTCTCTTCTGGGACTTTCATAATGCATATCTTGGTCCACCTGATAGGGTCCCATAAATCCTTCATGCTCTCTACACTTTTCTTAATTCTTTTTTCTTTTTGCTCCTCAGATACAATGATTTCACATGACCTATCTCCCAGTTTGCTGATTTTTTTTCTGCCTGATCAAGTCTGATGGTGAACCCCTTTAGTGAATTTTTCAATTCAGTTATTATATTGCTCAGCACCAGAGGTTTTTTTTATAGTTTCTATATCTTTGTTGATATTCTAATTTTGTTCATGCTTCATTGTCCTGATTTCATTTAGTTTATATTTCTTTCAGCTCATTGAGAATCTTTAAGGCAGTTGTTAAAATTCCTTGTGAGGTAATTCACAGACCTGTGGTTTTTTAGGGTTGGTTTCTGGAACTTTATTTTCTTCCCATGATTGGGACATGTTTCCATGTTTCTTTGTATGCTTTGTCATATTTTGTTGAGATTTGGGAATTTGAAAACATAGCTATCTCTCTCAGTCTTTTCAGATACAGGGGAACACCTTGACTAATCAGCCTGACATGGAGGTTCTGATACTTCTCAAACCTTCGCTGGGGATGTATCTTCTCTGGGCTTGTGTGTACTTTTATTCTAGTGTATATGACTTTTTTTTTTTTTTTTTGGTAGTAGGCGGGCCTCTCACTGTTGTGGCCTCTCCTGTTGCGGAGCACAGGCTCTGGACGCACAGGCTCAGTGGCCATGGCTCACGGGCCCAGCCGCTCCGCGGCACGTGGGATCTTCCCAGATCGGGGCACGAACCCGTGTCCCCTGCATCAGCAGACGGACTCTCAACCACTGCGCCACCAGGGAAGCCCTATATGACTTTTTTTTACTCTCCTAATTTCCCTAAGAGGATCTCTCCTGTTTCTTCTCAGGAGATTTTTGTTTTGGTTTCTATTGTATTCCTCCACCTGTAATCTCTTGCTCCTCCATCATTTGCAGAACTTCATAACCCCTGCAGCTCTAATGTGTAACGGCACTTGCCTTTGTTTTCAGCAGTCTCCAACCTGGTATCTAACTATGGAACTGTCCCCATCAGCTTTCCAGATCAGGCAAGACAGCAACCAATGAGTCAGACAGTGCCTAGACATGCCAGAAAGTTGGATGCAAGTGTCACTCTTTTCATCCCAATGGAGGATCTGGAAATTGCGAGACTTCCTTGTGACTGTGGCACACTGTGGCACACTCTGCCAGGGAGATGGTGGGGCTAACTAAGCTGGGCAAAATGCCATGACCCTTCCTATCCTCTTTGGTACAGTTTTTCTTGGTTAGTAATTCACTTGGATGATGCAGCTTCTTAACTGGTTTCTAGAGTTCTCATAATGGTATTTTGGTCTGTATATTGTTATTAACTTAGTGTCTCCATAGGGTAATGAGGGTCTGGAACTTCCTAGTCCTCCATCTTCCTGATATTTTATCCTATAATTAAGTTTTAACTTAAGTATAAAAGTCCTACGTAGGAAATATAGAGAATGATAGAAAGCACATGTGATGCCTAGGATTATTAATGAAATAATGAGACAGTTTCAATGTATACCCATTAAAACTCTTCTCTTTTCATATTAGATCTAGCATTATGGTAATCTACTTATAAGTCTATAAAATTGAGAAGAATTTATGCTGTACATTTGTTATAAATTTGAAAGTTAGGGGTTCACAATAGATCTGTTTTTCTATTTATTTGATTATATGCTTCTCTTTATGTAGCTCAGTTTGAAGTACCAGATGGAAATCTTCTCTATGAGGATCAAGACTCAATATCAAAAACACAAATGCAAGTAAATACACAGAGAACATTCAAAGGTAATATATACCTTAAGTAGTATAATAATTACAGATAACTTTAAATTATTTTAATTAAACTCAGTAGAAAATATTTTTCTTTGGTTCATGAATATGCATCTGAGATTATATTTTATGCAACATTTATAGTTTCTTTGATGTTAGTTGTAAATACCCTAAGAAAATTAGAGAGCAAAAGTCAAAGTATTCATAACTTACATTGGTATTTCTGGTTGTAATATTATTTCACAGTCATAGGTCATATACTCAGACACCAAGGCTCAATCATAGGCCAATAATTTTCTCACGAAAGATGCATACCTTTCAGCAGACTGGAAGATTATAGGTCCAAAACTCCAAAGGGTGTCTGTCTGTGACCTGTGGTAGTAGCCTTCTACCACAGACTGTACTTGGTGAACAGAGATGTTGCTGAGAGCTGTAACTCTAACAGCAAATGAGTATCAGAGGGCCCCAAGGGAAGGATAGCCTGAGAGGCCTGGTGGAGGGCCTCAAGTGCATCCTCTTGGTTGTGGCCCCACTGAGAAGAGTGGCCTTTGAAGTAATCTAATAGTAATGGATGTAATGGATGCCATCAAGAACCACACATGGGGACTATGAGAGTGCAAGTATCCAAATAGTCCCACCAATAGCTGGGCCTCATTTTCAGTTGTTCAAGTAGAGTGTGTCAAAGCTTGGCAGTCTTCTCCTTTGGAATGACATGTTGTGCCCCTCACAGATTTTGCCCAGGGATTTCAGTTAGGTACTGGGTAACTATGTCTTATCTGTAATAATGGTCCAGCCATGTTGCTACATATTGGTCTGTAGGACGTCTAGTTCTTGTTAAGTGGTGCCCTTGTATGGACCTATTTGGATGATGTCATCAATAGACTGGAAGGCTAGTGCTCCCTCTGGGTGTAGGACATTTCTAGGTCAAGACTGTTTGGTGAAAGATAGTTGGGGAATTTATGTAGCTTTATGGAAGGACATTAGTGAGGCAATGCAATCTGTTCCCCATATGATGAACTGATCCTAATCATCCATGTGGACAGAGATTATGCATAGGGTATTTGCACCGTCTATTACAGAATACCAGATTCTCTCACTGTGGACAGTAGCTTCCATGACAGTCACAATATCAGATATAACTAGTGCCTGGGGACTACATCACTGAGCTGCCAATTATCACTGGAGTCTCTATACACACAAGGACATATGCCCAGGTCCACTGAGCTACTGAATGAAGAAACAGTCTCAGGGAGAATTTTTGCTTCATTAAGCTCATCAATAAGGACAGTTATTTACTTTTCTTCTTCACGCATTTGTTTTTGAGGAACAAAGTACTAGATTCTGGTAGTTGAGTAGTTTCACAGTCTTCCACTTGTCTTGCTGAAGTGGTAATTTCTATCAGGGTTTGGGGTGAATGCAAGTAGGGGTTCATGTAAACAGTACTTCTATACCAATAATGCATTCAACAGTGGGGGCTATAACAATGGAGTTTTGAGGTGGCCTGGGTGGGTACACTGTTGTAGGGTCTGGGTAAGTTTCCCATTGGTGGTGGCCGTGGAGTACCACCTCGGCATTATCAGTGTCCTCCTCATCCTGGTGTCGGGGGTTGTGGTGATCACAGTCGCCTATGCACCCATGTCCCACAGGCTTGGGAATGCAATTCTGCACATCTCCATTGAACTCTAACTTTATCATAAGTCCTCACATTCCCACTGGATATATGGGGCCCGGCCTAACCCATAGTCTTGTTTATCTTGAAAGCCGTAAAGTCTTGGTAAAAGTTGGCAGAGCATTTTGATTCATGGCAAGGATCACTGGGAAAAGCAGAAACATAGCACCTGTGTTAGTCATAGGCCACAGTAGTGGCCTGTTGGGCCTCCCTTATCCCACTACCTGGCCTTCGGGTCCTTGGTAAATATCCCATCAGTCTACTCCTTTCAGACCCTGTTTTGGGGGTAACACACCCTTTGATCTCTTTAAGGCCTTTGCCCAGATGGTCCGGGGCGGTTACTAGACTACCATTTTTACATCATTCTCTCTTCTGGTCAGTCATTGCTATCTTGGCATTATTCACTATTACTTGTCCAGAAATTTGTCAGTTAAGGTCCAGATTGTGTCGTAGACCAATTGCCCTGACCTTATTAGGATGTTTATCGAGCTTGATGTCCAGCAATAGTGGCACAAATGAACCTAGGAACCTGAATCTGGTAAATAAAAAAAAAAAAACAATCTCATCATCTGCTGTCCTCATTCCCTCATTGTATATCTTAGGCACCACCAGGGTGGCTCATGGAGTCACTATTGCCTTTTCACGTATGCTTAAAACATGTTTTACAAAGGCAAGGATGAGCCATCTGTCGGATCCAAAACAGTACCCAGCTGAGGAAGGAGAGTCTTGGATGTCTGTATTTTTTCATACTCCTTTATTCCACCTCCTTGTGCAGTGTGGCCATTGTCAAGGTTCTCCAAGAAATGTTTCTGTATTAGCAACCCGGCAAGGTTAACATGATTACTTCTTTAACAAGATACTCCTTTAAATGTGAAGATGAATGACTCACGTCTATAAGGTCTCTTCAGGTCACTGGGTAAAGTGATCCTCAGCACTCTACATTCCTTTTCATTAAATCATGAATTACAGTAACCACTATAGCAAAGGCTGAACACAAGTTCCAGGAGCATTAGATCTAACAGTAGTCACCGAGTGCAACTCAGCATGCAGGGTCACCAACAACTTTTGATCCCATTTTTTTTTTTTTTTTTTTTTTTTGCGGTACTCGGGCCTCCCACCGTCGCGGCCTCTCCCGCTGCGGAGCACAGGCTCCGGACACACAGGCTCAGCGGCCATGGCTCACAGGCCCAGCTGCTCTGCGGCACGTGGGATCCTCCCGGACCGGGGCACGAACCCGTGTCCCCTGCATCGACAGGTGGACTCTCAACCACTGCGCCACCAGGGAAGCCCTGATCCCATTATTGATGAAACTGTAAGTAGCCAAGGAATTGCTTCCCCAGTTTTGTCAAAATCCCTGTTTGATGTTTAATTTGACCCACCCACTGGGCATCTTGGCCAGCAAAACAGGACTATTAAAATAGAAGGATCATGGGGCTTCCCTGGTGGCACAGTGGTTGAGAGTCCGCCTGCTGATGCAGGGGACACGGGTTCATGCCCCGGTCCGGGAAGATCCCACATGCCACGGAGCGGCTGGGCCCGTGAGCCATGGCCACTGAGCCTGCGCGTCCGGAGCCTGTGCTCCGCAACGGGAGAGGCCACGACAGTGAGAGGCCCGCGTACCGCAAAGAAAAAAAAAGAAGGATCATGTAAACAATAAAGTAACACTCTCCTAAGCATGTCACACAATCTGTCAGCAGTTCCTGAGACACGTTGGCCTGAATGGTCATGTGCCCTGTGGGAACCTCAGACTCTTAACAAATGACTCAGTAAGTGCCCCCTTAGAGAGCCCTGAGGACTCACTAGTGCTCCTTCCAGAAAGGAATTGTGCTTCATTGACCACATTGCTCACTGTGCTAACTTGTCAGGGAGAGAGCTGCCAGTTTTTGAGTTGGTCAAGTAAGACAGCAAGTAAATTGAAAGTAAATTTAAGCATTTATTCACTTACTGTAATAGTATAAGAGTCTAAACAGGAAAGGTTCCCAGCCACACCAATATTCCATTTTCCCCCACAGAACATCATTGGATGAGGGTCAGATACATCAGTGCTGACAGGGCTGGGGTAGGGGAAGATCATCTCACAACCAAAGGAGCTCCAAACAAAAGGTTCTTGCTGTTCTATAGATCTGAGAGGAGATAGAAGTGGGAGGTCTAGGAGGAGTGCAAAAGTACTGAAAACAGAGTCAGAGATAATAAAAAGGTCTACAAGGTCCAATGAAAAGGTGGTCTATGTACAGGGTCTCAGCTGAGTCCTCCCCACATAAGAATGCTTCAGAATTGAAGCACTCAGACTAAGAATGCAGATATGGCCTTAGTCCATGACTGCACTAATTCCAATGTCTGCAGTGCACTGGCTATGTCTCAGAGTCTAGTGTGGAGTATGAAGATTTCCCCCATGGCAGCTGCCAGATCAAGCCTTTGTAATCGTCTAAGGTTGGGCCTGACAGATCACGCAGAAGATTTTGGCATGTTGTCAGTGCCTCAGTGTAAACACATATGCATGTCCACATACAGGTACACATGATATACATATATGGATATACATATCCATATAGTCATCTTCATGTATGCTTACATACATAAATGTGCACATATATGTATATATGCATATTCACAGACATATTTAGAAATCATGGTTTCTCAAAGACACTTTCAATTTCATTCTCTCCCCTCAGGACTTGTTCTTATCTTTCTCTATTTCCGGTGTGTATATCGTTCCTTCCACAGTGTGAATCTGACTCTGATCAACATCAGTACATTTACTCATTTGCTCTACCGTATAATGCTTCTAAAATTATTTCAGAATGTAGAACCCTAGAAAAACAAATCTACTAAGAGGATTCTGTGATTTGCAAACAGAGAACAGATTTGTGGTTGCCAAGGGAGTGGAGGGTGGGGGTGGGATGGATTGGGAGTTTGGGATTAGCAGATGCAAACTATTATATATAGGATAGATAAACAACAAGGTCCTACTGTATAGCACAGGGAACTATATTCAATATCCTGTGATAAACCATAATGGAAAAGAATATGAAATATATATATACATATATAACTGAGTCAATTTGCTATACGGCAGAAATTAACACAACATTGTAAATCAACTGTACTTCAATAAAATAAATTTTAAAAATAAATTCTTCAATAAACATCTTAACTTACAGTTGAAAAAGAGGAAAAAGATTTTGTGATTTGTTTACAGTTCACCCCTCTACTCTTTTGCCCAGGAGTGAGGGTGTACGTCAAATACTATATTGATGATTTACTTGCATTAGTGCTTTCTTATTTCCTTCAGTAGATTCAGTTCTTTAAATTTAGTTTCAGTTTTAGTTCCTTTTCTTATGCTTTG